GGTTGCTTTTGCTTCTGGTTGCAAATTTCAGGGGCCGACTGGGTAAGGATTTTGGGGGCATCGCCCGGATCACGGTGATGTTGATCCGACAGGGCACGAAAGTTACGCCTGAGGTTGTCAGTGACGCCTTGACTGAGCTGAAGCAGGGGAATGCCACTGACGAGGCTTGGCCGTGAGGGGTGTGCCGGCGAAGCAATCATATATATACATATATATATATATATACACGTATATATATATATACTTATAGTCCCCGTCACATCTTTGCGATCGATCTGACAGCTGATCCATCTGACAGCTGATCGATCTGAAGGCTGATTAGCACAGCAATTGATGCCAACTTCAACTATTTGTTTGGTTTTGCCCTTGACTTCTTCCACTGCAAATCATTGACTACCTCGGAATCACTCTCAGTATGAGGTAGACGGCGTGCGATTCATGAGCGCTCCATGACAAAGGTGTGCTGATGGTACGCAGACGTCGGACATCGTGAGTAGAACACCCAAACTGCAAAATCGGGTGGCTGGGTAATAGGCTCACAGTTTCTGAGCTCATGGGTTGGCTCCGCCAGATTTGAGCTGGGAGAATGACGGCATGGCTGCACGCACACAACTTGATTCAGGTAGCCCTCGGTTGTTTGGACTGGTGGTTGGTGATTCCATAATTTGAGCCCACCTATGTTCTTGTGGAGGGCAAATGCGAAACCGCCCCTAGCCTCCAAACCACGAATCCATGATTTTGACTCAGGACCCCTCACAAATATGAATCCCCACCGAATGTTTGATGTCCACCAATGGGTTCCACATCACACCCACATCACGCGACACATCATCAGTTGAAGGGAGAAGCTGATCTGGGACGCTTGTCAGTCCTTGGAAGTGCTCCTCGCTGCCCTGGGCAACGTGACCCTGAAGAGCGCCCTGCAGGCCCACGGGCAAGAAAGGGCTGGGTATGTGTCCCCCGAAAACGGAAATCCATCCAAACCATGGGACACGGGTATGTGTTTGTTCAAAAATAGAACCCCCTCCCTTGCCGCAGAATGATGGTTGGTAAATTGTTGGTTTCCCTTCAAGCCAACTCAAAAAGAGTACCCTCAAGAAAAGCACGCAAGCAAAACGTGAAGGTGATATTTGGTTCGGAAGCGTGGACTTATGATTGCTGATCCGATGAGTTGATTGCCTCAGCTTGGCAACTTGTCTGCCAACGATGGCTTGAAAAACGATGCTAGACTTTGATTGAATGCTGCGCATTTGAACCAATTTGGCCGCCGAAAGTTGCGGTTCACCACCTTGGAAGACGTCCGGAGGCCTGAGGGTTGTTTCAACATTGGCGGCTTGGCAAGCAGTCGAAGCGCAACTTCTGAAAGCAAGCATGGCGGACGACTTTTGATAAAGTTTCGGTTGCCCACCTTTACTCGTTTTGACTTGATTTGCAGATTTGTTCACGGCAAGTGAAACTTTCATTTTGCAGGACTCAGCTGCGCTGTTTCCCCACCGCTGGGCGTTTTTGTTCGCGGAGAAATGTGGGAAGTTGTGAACTGCTTGGAATGAAGAGTCATTGTTGCAGGTTTGGACCTTGTCTTTTGGGTTGCTTGCACCCGTTTTTCTCTGCCATGCTCCCAGACTCAACACTCCCAATCCCACTGCTCGAGCCGCCTACGCCGCCCTTTGGTCAAAGCGCGCAGACGGGGAACGTGTGGACCGCGGCGGACCAGGGGGCGCTGTTCTACAACTGCTTCCCGGGCGGTGACCCTGGAGCCCATCAAATGGAGTCGAATGGAGGTGTTTCTGATCCAGGGGCGGGGAAGGGTCTCTCACGTTTTGCAGCTTTGTGTGCTTTTTTAGGAAAGACAAGTTTTGGTTTCCGCTCAAGTGAGGGAAGTCCCTCGAAATGGCTACGCTGTCCCTATAGTTGGAACCACCCAATTTAACTGCTTTTGGTGCAGCCAAAAGGAAGAGCAGGGTTGATCTGAGCTGTTTTCCTTTCCAGCAGCCATTTTGCCACCCCTGGGTTTCGGAGCAACGCTGCAAATGTTTGTTGCCTCTGCACCAGCGTGAAGGCATTTGCCGCGCTTCACGCTGGTTGGTATAGCTGAGGGATGATTGAAGCCATGGGTCAAATACGTTCTTAGAATGGGGTGCAGGGGATGGATGGTCGTGGGGTGCATGGGGATGGATGGTTATCAAACGCCCAGTACCGGGAATGAGTCAACTGTCAGGGTTGTTGGTCCGCCCTGCACCGTGCTCAGACATGTTGTCGAGGCAGTCAGATGGGATCACTGGGCACCAACGGTGCTTTGGCCGTTGTGCTTGAAACACAGGAGCTCTAAACGCATCAGGAGGCTTGCGGCACTTGCAGGGGGCCTCTTTGTTTGAAACCGCAGGGCGGGTCAAAAGGAACCACCCCCAATCTGTCTCACTTCCTGAAGCGCTCCTTTCACAGAACTAGGACTGCGGCCAGACGGGCTTGCGTCTGCTTGGCGTCCGGCGGTCTGCCTCTCTTGTGCTTAAATCAAGCATGCGGTCCAAATCTCCTATCGATTTGAGCAGATGGTTCTACCAGTTCTGTGTAGATGACCTTTCTAACCATGGTAGGCCTGACAAGTCAATGGGTAGTTTTGGGCGCTGTGCTCTGTGGCCATCCGCGCGCTCCACGGTTCTGATGGTTCTTGCGCTCTGAGGCCTGACGCCCTTCCGAGATTTGGAGGCCCGGGGCTGTGGGCTAGAAGCCAAAGCTCAGTGCAGAATGATGGGCGCCGCAATGAGATTTCCATGTTCGTCACGTTTTCTTCAATGGAGGGCAAACCTGGGTACAGGGAGTGTTTGTCCTTAATGGAGTGCTGTTTTTGTTGTTGATGAAGTTTGATCAAGTTGTTTTTGTGCCTCACATCTCTTGCTTGGAAGCTTTGCTATTGGTCTTCTAACTGGGTTTCGCTTCAACCCCGCCAAGCGGCCAAGTTACGGCTGGTCTAAAGTGCCAACTTGTTGATCCAAATGATGAAGGACATTGTTGCCAGCTGTGACATAGACCCTCGGTATACCGTCTGAATCCATTGAAGATATCCAGTGCCAGAACAACTCCCTGTTTGGCCTGTTTCTGCTAGTATTGTAGTTTTTAAGGGGTTGCAGCACGGGCTGAAATAGGTCTGCATAGCCCACTGCTCCTACCGTCGCCTGATGGCCTTGAGCGTTTGTTTTCTCCCAGGAGCACGGCCTCTATGGAGACATTGAGCTGGAGCCCTTTCAGGACCCGAAGCGACAATCTTGGCAGACTGCGCAATAGGGCGAAAGCAATGCTTACGCCTTGACGCTGAGGAGCCTGCGCGCATCATACAATATGTGTGTTCCATAGTTTGTATTGGGAGACAAAAGTACAAACGGTTGAAAAGCCAGCTGGAGAGATTTGCTTGAGGCGTAGACTGCGAACTGGTTTGGGGGTGTATCCTCCTGCAAAACATGAGCTTCGTCCCCCCACAAAGACCTGCTCTTCCATGCGTCAGTTTGAGAAAATTTTAAGACTGCTGCCTTGAGTCCACGCGAAGCAGCAAGCATGCGGATCGTGGAAACGTTTGCGCTCCTTCCACGAACTCCCTGCCAAACGTGAGCATGCGGATCGTGGAAACGTTTGCGCTCCTTCCACGAACTCCCTGCCAAACGTGAGCCCATTAAAGCTCTTTGGTTTGCTCAATCCCAGGGCATGGCCTCGCTTTACCCACAGCAACATCGATGTGCCCATATGCCATTTGCAAATCATCTGGTTTATCTTGCGTTGAGTCCTGTAATGGTCGCCAGTCCTTCCAATCTGCTGGGAAGCTCATTTTGGGGTTCTATGGTACATGCTGAATTGCAGGGAGTAGGACTGGACATCGTTTGTTGGGCGCTCGTGCGTGTGCATATTGGACCAAACCCCTGCGTGGGGTGGAAATCGTGGGCGACGAGCATTGGCGTTAGACCTCAGCGCATCTCCATCCAACCTGCCAGAAATACAGAGGGCGGTTTCCCAAATCATTTGTTGCTTCGAAATCACCTACCCGCTGGACGGAAAACGACTGGAACTGGGAAACCAGTGATACTTACATGGTGGTTGAATCAGAAAGATGTACTGTTGGCATCTTCCTGAGGAATGAGTATAGAACTGGTTCTCTTTCCTCAATTCATGGCCCTGCAAACGGTCCGGTCGTTCCAATGGGACAACCCAAGCAGAGGCATGCTGATATTTCCTGCACGATTTTGCGTGATGACACTTGCGTGATAGAAACAGTTTTGAACTGGGCAACCACCATTTTGCAAGGTTGTGGATCTGGGTCATCCTTTTGCTTCCCATCTGAAACTTAACGAAGTCTCCACGGGGTTGCTGTGAGGGCTAAGATCCTCGGAGCTGCCACTGAAAGGCCCCACTATTCTAACTGGCTTCATTGCGAGAAGCATCCCCGCCATTTGGAAGCAATGAGGTGGAGATGATCGGTCCCTCAATTTCACTTCGCCCTGATGGATGCAATGACCCGCAGAAGGTGAAGTCAGTCCAACCAGTTGATTGCTTTTTTGTCCGAGTTTGGATCCATGGGTATCCCCCCAACCCCCGACCCCCAACCCCCAACCCCCCGAACCGAGTTAGAACTCATGGTGTGGGGAAAATCGGAGCGGGGAAAGTCGTGAGCGCCAGGATGTCACGGTGCGGGTGGACACGGGCGATCCATTCGTCCGGGCGCCAAGTCTTGTGGCCCGGGGTTGGGCGTGGGGATTCGCCTTGTCACGTTTTCCAACACCCCGTACCAATTGACGTCGGGTGGCAGGAGCTAACCTGGTAGTTTTCGGAAGCGCAAATTGTGCCGAAGGGAGGCCTGAGCCGTCGCCAGCCACTCGCCAGGAAGGGATGTGGTTGCTTAGGGGTCCCTGGATTTCTGTTGCCCTGTTGAACTAACTTTCCTGCCTGCAGCAAGTTTCGCAATTCGTTTCTTCGAAGCTTGTGTTGCAGGAGGTGCCCAAGGTTTTCCCTTTTGGTGGCTTTAGACAGCACCTTTTTTGAGCCATTTAAGGTGAGTCCTTTAGTCTCCCTTGGTCGGGGTGATGTTTAAAGGGAAACATGGGGAATGCTTGATGAGCATCCAAGATAATGCCCATGGGCGATTCCTTCTCTTCTGGCGAGATTCTTCCTACAAACAAATTGGAGAGGTGACGGACCCGAACAAGACACGGGTTTCCACTTCCATGAAGTAGCTTTGCTGGGAGATCCCTATCCTCACCCAGCCTTTCTTCACAATGTTTGAACATGTAACCAGTCCTTAGCCTGAATGATCCGTTTTCCATGCCGGCACTTCTCCCAATTTGTGCATCGCCGTACTGACATGTGTTGACGCGGTCTCGTCTTCGCTCTTTCAGTAGGTCACCAGCTGAGTGCGCTGGATAGTGTTCATCTGGATCAATGTGGGGGTTGTTTCCAAACGTAGGTAGCGGATTGGATGCCATCTTTTTCTCCTGGGTTCAAGGCTTTGGCTCCAGCTTTCAAGAGCTCCCAACCAGTACTGGCTAAGGGCCGCTGAGGGTTACTCGGTCCAAAAGTGTGGGGCCTCCTGAGACAGGACTTCCAGAGGGTTCTTCGAACGCATCTAACTTGACAGGTCGAGAAGCACGAGATTCAGTACTGCTACCGACTGGGCACCACCACTGCCGCCCCCTTCTTAGCCGCCGGACACGGCGCCAGGCCACGAAGAGAAACAAAGTCCCATCGCCCTCCATTTGCAAATTCATTCCCAGTTTCAACTCCTTTCGACGCTTTCTCTCTCCTCTTCATTTTCGTTCCTTCCTTTTCTTCTTTCTTCTTCTTCTTCTTCTTCTTCTTCTTCTTCTCTCTCTCTCTCTCTCTTTGTTTGATTATTTTTCTCTCTTTCGCTTTGTGTATTTCTTTCTTTCCTTGTTTCTTTCCTTCTTTCTGTCCTTCTTTCTTTCTTTCTTTCTTTCTTTCTTTCTTTCTTTGATTCTTTCTTCCCTTCTTTCCTTCCTTCATTCCTTCCTTCATTCCTTCATTCCTTCATTCTTTCCTTCCTTCCTTCCTTCCTTCCTTCCTTCCTTCCTTCCTTCCTTCCTTCCTTCCTTCCTTCCTTCCTTCTCTCTCTGTCTCTGTCTCTGTCTCTGTCTCTGTCTCTGTCTCTGTCTCTGTCTCTGTCTCTGTCTCTGTCTCTGTCTCTGCCGCTCTCTCTCTCTCTCTGCTCTGTCTCTGTCTCTGTCTCTCTGTCTCTGTCTCTGTCTCTGTCTCTCTCTCCCTGTCTCTCTCTCTCTCTCTTTTCCTCTCTGTCTTTCCCTCTTTTTCCCCAACAGCTGAAAGCTTTGGGGTCTCAGCCCAGATAGGCTCCGGGGTGGTCCGGCGCGGTCCTGAGGCAAGGTTCCACAAAGTTCCTGTTTGCTTTGCTTTGCAGAAGGCGGCGTCCTAAGCCATGCGTGGCTTTGGAATTCCCCAGCCCGGGTCGGGGCCCGCTTGCGTCACCACCCCAAAAGAGCCTGAGCGTGCCCTGATTGCGCTGTCTGATCGGGCTCGTCGGCCCTGGTCAGTGCCTGGTCGGGCCCCAGCGGCTGTGCCAAGCTGGCATCGCCCAGCTTTGCTTTGTACAGTTGTAAGGCAGCATCCAAAGCAAAACCGGCGGTGAGCAATGGGTGGGTGGGATTGGTTGGCCTCGTCGGGCCCCGATTGCGCCGTCGGGCCCCGCAGGGCCAGACCTGGAGACACATTTCAGATATAGTTTGTGGCGACTCCCGGATTTCTGATATAGATTTCTGATGGTCTGGGAGGGTGTTGAAGATGTCGCCTAAGCTTATCTTTTGTTTAATCTCTCTCTCTCTCTCTTTGTCTCTCTGTCTCTTTGTCTCTTTCTCTTTCTCTTGTTCTTTCTCTTTCTTTTCTCTTTCTTTCTTTCTTTCTTTCTTTCTTTCTTTCTTTCTTTCTTTCTTTCTTTCTTTCTCACTGTCTCCTTTCTCTCTTTTTCTCTTTCTCACTTTATCTCTTTCTCTCTTTTTTTACTTTCTCAGCTTTTCTCTGTCTCTCTTTCTTTTGTTTTTGTTCTTTAACTTTTGTCTCTTTGTCTCTTTGTCTTTTTGTCTCCTGCTTTCTTCGCTTTCTCACTTTCTCAGTTTTCTCTCTTTCTCACTTTCTCGCTTTTCTCTTTCTCTCTTTATCTCTTTTTCTCTTTCTTTTTTCGCTTCTCTCTTTCTCTCTTTTCTCTTCTCTCTTTCTCTCTTCTCTTTCTCTGTTTCCCATTTTCTTTCTTTTTCTCCTTCTCTCTGTCTCTCTCGCTCTTTTTCTTTCTCTTTCTCTTGGCACCTGACCTTGTGAAAGCGTTGCGCCTGCCACGAAACCTGCACCTGAAAGTGCTGCGCGTCACGAAGTCTGCACCTCACTTTGCGAAAGTGCTGTGGACGACAGTATCGCTCGTGACTGCTTATGCGCTGGCAGGAGTTTGCCGTGCAAGTATGCTGGAAGAATGGAGAGCTCGTGTGGTAGCAATTGAGAATCAACTTGCAACACGGGTTCGAGAGCAGACAACAGATGGCACTAGAGAGCCTGTGCCTGGTTTGGACGTTGCGCTTGCCAAATGTCGCGAAAAGCGTGCGCATCCATGCCGATGGGCCGGGTCCGAACACGCTCCGAGACAGTCGCCCGTCAGGCGTCGTGACCGAGGTAGCTTTCAGCCATCCGGAGATGTTAGAACCGCAGAGGGTTGCTCTTTCTGGACATGTCTATTCCCCCGCCGCACTCTCGCCCAATTTTTCTCGTGCGCTCTGGTTCTGTTTGATTTTTGTCGAAGCAAGAAGTGTCGTGTGTGGCACTCTTGTGAAGCGGGTTTGAGCCATCGCTCACAGGAGAGGGAAGGGGGAAGGGGAGGTTGCATCCATATAAATCGATGACAGGCTCGGGGCTGAGTTTTTAAAGCGACAGTTCCATCTTCACGCCCCAGGCCAAAATTGCCTTTGTGGCGGCACGGAAGCACATCATGGAGCAGGCGCCGCAACAACACAGATCATGAAAACTGGTTTCTCAAAGGGGTTCATCTCAGCCCCCAAGTACTGGCGGGGCTTTACCAGCGGACCCACGCAGAAGATCGCGCGATGCATGCCAAAAGCTGTTGGAGGATGGGGCTGCTCGCTTGCAGATCTTGGCTGACCGTGTATACTTGCAGCTCTCTTTGCCAAGCGCCGCCCGTAGAAAGCAAGTTGGATTGGAGTCATCGTTTCTGGTCTAAGGCTGAGCCTCTACAAAAAGGTTTATTGTGAGAGCCTTGCTGAAAGCCCAAAGGTTGTCACCCTAGTCGCTGTTTGCTTTTATGGTTGTTGGTTGGCCCCAATTTGCGCCATAACTCAGAATTGATTGCGTTTGTGCGGAGCGTGGGGGCTATTTCAGCAACTCGGAGTGCCGCCGTGACATGTGCCCAAACTCCCAGCCTAAACCACCAAACTATTTCAAAAACTTGTTTTCGGCTTTCCTCACAGGGGGGCCGGTTCCGGTTGTGACCATCTTAGTTTTTGCTGTTTCGCGGGCGTGTCTGGTCGTCGAATGCAAAGGGCTGAGCAATTACTATTTTTTCCCATGGTCATAACTATAACTTGATTTGGTTTTGTGGCAGCCCTAATCATTTAGCCGCTGTTCTGGGTTGTTTGACCCTCCTTTGTGGTATGTCTGGCTTTGAACCCTTGATTGAGGGGGTCAAAAAAGCTGCCGCTTCGCCAACAAAACCGCCGGAGGTGCCGTGCCTTAGCTTCACTGTGGTCCACGCGAAAGCGGACGGCACGGGCTGCTCGAAGAGCCGCGCCTTGGAGGTGCGAATGCAGTGCGACGGCGTGGGGGTGCCATGGAAGAGGAGCAAAGCAGAAACCAAGCCACTCTTAGAAGGCATACTTGAGCTACTTGGCAAAGCGATATCTTCACAAGAGAATGGTGTGTGTGTGTGTGTGTGGGATGCCCGTTTGGGTTGTTTTAGAGGCGATCAGCGCAACTTGCGAACGGGGCTGTCGTGAACAAGGGGACAACCCAAAATGGTGGTCTTCCCTTTGTTTTCCCTTGAAAGCAAACCACAAAACCTGTTTGACCCAAACCACAACCATCGACCGGCTTCCCTCGGCAGGTGCGGGATCAGAACAACGGGTGCTGGTCCGCCTACCAGAAGGCCAGCGGGGTGTGGAAACGGCGGACACGTTAACAAGGCCACGCGCGGGCAAAGCGGGCTGGGTGCCCGCTGGGTGTGCGCAGGCCGAGGTCTTTACTGCCCTGGACATTGTTGGAAGGAAACCAAAAAGGGCCCCAAAAGGAGCTTCCTCTACAAAGGATGTTCTTTGGATTCCATGTTAGTCTGCAGGGGGAGTGATTTGTTGTATTTTTGCCCGGCGAGGTTCGAGATGGAGTCACTGCAAGAAGGTGCCTGGATTTTTGAAGGGCATCCCGTGATCTTGCCAAATATCCAGTGGCCCATACTCCTCGACCTGCGATATCCGTTTTGTCAGGCAAGCCAAATGACGTAATTTTAGAATAGTGAATAGGGGAGTGCAGCCCTCCAAAATAATCCAAGTCTCCACATTCACCACCGAATGGCGTTTTGTTGAATCTGATGTTCTCACTTACCAAGCCAAGGCAGCAAAATCCTCATGGTTTTTGATGTATGCTCAAGCACATACCGCGGATCCGCTCCGTAGCATCTGTTGCCATGCACATGCAGCCCCGCCCCCCGCCCCCCCCCCCCCCCGGTTGACATCCATCCATTACCATTTTTGCAGCGAGCTCAACCGGGGTAAAACGAGCTCACATATTTCAGGCTTTTGTAGAATTGTTGTAAGCAAATGTTGACATCTGCAGCAATGGTTCTCGGCACAGAATCACCAAGGTTTCGGGAATGAACCGTAAGGGGATCCCCGAATTGAACGATGCATTGGCGTCCATGGTTTCTGCTTTCCTTTTGGTCCCAATAGAAACCCTGTTGGAACCATGGCCATTGCTCTCAGGATGCCAAGGGCGATGCCACTGGCACAGTGATGCTGAACCTGGGCCGAGGCGCCAAACCGGGCCACAGGGGGGGGGGGTGACGTGGTTCGCCAAAGAAGAAAATCTTTGGGATGGCCCAGCAGAAGAGCTTTGTTTGGGGCAGCGAGGGTTTTGGGGGACAAGGGGTGGGGGGCTATATAACGAGAGGAATAGTTACTGAGACCTAGACCCATTTTAGAGTATATACTCCACCCCCGATTTTATTTGTTGAAGCCCTTACAGTACAGGGGTTGAGGGGCTGACAGGGCAGCTCCGTTTGGAGAGGTGTGTTTCTTGAAATGGGCCTTTCGCGTTCTGCTTTGACCCATTGGTGTCGGACAATCGATTGATTTCCACGCAGAAGCAAGCATCACTTCGGGATTTGGGATATCCCATTCGCCGGCACAGCGCCCAGGTTGTGTGCAAAGCAATGCGACATGGTGAGACACGGCAGCTTCTCTCAGGGGATGTTTTGATGTGCGAGTGATTTGCTCTTCATGGTAGCCACTGTTTTCGAGAGGTGGGACTGAGAGACTGGACATGGATCGGCTTGCGTCTTAATTGGAGGGTTTGTGTGTTCCAGGTGGCAAGGAAGCAGCAGTTTGGGCGCCATGTGCTCATTTCTTCGGGGTCTATTGGATCTTCGCCAATGTCCAACTGTCATGTTCCCCACCTTGGGGGGGGGGACATACTCTTGTTTGAACCAGTCATGTACAATGAGGCAGTTGCATTTCCTTTAGAGAGATGATACGGTATGTGCAGACGAGAACAACAGGGAGCATCCCTTGTGTCTGATGAAAGGGAATCAGTGAGGAAGGACCACGATGTGCCTGTGACTTTCCGCAGCTTCTGCTCAGCTGTGAGCACAGGTTGAACAGCGCTCGGCTCGTGAGCTCCAAGCAGCCACCCAGAATCCAAGCAGATGGTGGGGAATGGGCTTGCAATCCTGTCACCAGAGATACGTCTTCATGCGCTTCAAAGGGACATGTCCAGCTCAGCCCAGCAGACCAGCCAGGGCTCTGGCACAAGCTCCTTCCCTACCTCAAATTATTTCTTGAGGTGTCCCAGCCCAGATCTGCGACGCACATTGGACAAATCCATCGCTCGCCATGGCGGTGCAGCTGCTGTGGCAAAGGCGCCCGCCGGCGGAGGACCTAGGCGAGTCTGAGTTGGTGTGAGTGTGGCGTGCTTGGTATTTCCAGTAAAACACACAAGTCGAGGGTGTTCGGTGCAGGATGCGTGATGGCTTGGGCAATCTCAGTCGCGCTATAAACACAGATCCCACAATTGAGTGATGCTTCAACTCGTTTTTCCCAGGCCAACAAGCAAGCAATTCACCGGAAAGCTTTTGTGATTGTGCACATCCTGACCCCAACGGGACATCAAAGCAGAAGCGACCCGTTTGTTCGCTGCCAGTCGTGCGGGATCCGGCAGCAAGGCGCCGCCGCGGTCACTTTGTTCAGTTTTAGATAGTTTTCACCACCAAAGGACCTGGGGATTAATGGGATATACACCTACACAAAGGATAAATACCCAGTTTCCCTTTGAGGGTGGGGGAAACCATCGCCAGGCGACTGTTGACAGCATCAATAAATTGGTTGCTCACATTCTTTGCCACGATCAATTAGTCGTCCTCTGCTGTTGGCTACCCGTCACGCATTGTGGTAGGACGCCAAAGCCAAGCCACAAACGAAGGGACTCAGTTGGGTGAGACCCATTTGGAACTGGGTATGTCTCAAGACAAGTTCGACCCCTCCAAACGGTTTGTTTTGTGGGAGGGTTCTTCTTTTCAAAGCCAACTACAAACTATAGAGGCAAAGATGGTCCTCGCCTACAACAACAACAACAAGACTTGCTGGACCACTATTTACACATGGTGCTTACCCAACAACCAGTTTCCATGGAGAGATCTTGATGGAAACCTGATGGAACATGGAGAGTTTGGGCAACACTCGTAAGTTGTTTCAAGTTCCAGGGTTCATCCGATGGGGTCGTTTTGTTTTTGTTTTTTCCCCGATCACAGGCCAGTGGAGCGCCTCACGGACCGAACAGCGGATTTGGGAGGGGCGGGCGGACGGGGAGCTTCAAACTGGGTGGTGCCCCTTTGGTTTCCCTTTAAGCCAACCTTGCAAAGCGAAACCTCCAAAAGCGAACACACCCTGGCGTTGGCAGAGAGGCCTCTTCTTCCTCTTTCTCATTCAACCCTCACCTTTCGGATTGGTTTGTGGGTATCCTTTGGATGCAATCGAAGGGACAATACGGAGCTCTGTGTTTGTGGTCGCCAGCGCGGGTTTGCCGTTCAATGGTTGGAGTCACCCAGAAAGGCTCGCCAAGAGTGTATGACTCTTGTTTGAGAGGTCGTTGGACCTGGACGCACAGAACGGAACTGAAAACAGCTTTCCCATTTGTTTTCAGTGAGTCACCCGGTTGTTCGATTCGGATCAGCATCCAACGCCTTTCTTCTTGGCTCGTCACCTGTCAGCAAAACCCGGACGGGCAGTCCCAAGGTCCCGAGTCAAGCAGCACGACAGGTTCAAAACAGAAGAGCACGCAGGGAAGACAAACTGTATCGCTGCGGCAGAGCTGCGGCAGACATGGCGGCCCCATGCTGCCCCTCCGGATCTCATGGGCCGGCTCCGCCAGATGACGTGGGCTTGAAAGGTTCCTGGGAGAAACATGGTGACTTAGACTGCTACATGGTGGGCGAGAAGAACCCCACCACTGTGATTCTCGCTTTCACTGATGTCTTCGGGGTCCTCTCCGGGCGCCACCGGCGGATTTGCGATGACGTGGCAGCTGCGGTCCCTGGCAGCTTGGTGTGTCTTCCGGATCTCTTCCACGGTGACCCAATTGCGCCGGACTACTCCGACTGTGCTTTGCCACAGACGAGGCTGGCGTTGTGCTTGCCCATGATGGTGTACCGCATCCGGTACCGCTTCGGCTGGGGCCAAGTGGGCCCTGAGATCCAGCGCCTGGTGGATTCTTTGAAGGCGCAGCATGCAGTGCCCTTCATGGCCTTCGGGTTCTGCTTTGGGGGCTACGTTCTGATCAAGGCCTGTACCTTGGGGTGCTTCAGTGCCGGGGTGGGGTTCCACCCATCGCCCTGGCTCTGCAAGTTGCAGAGCCATCCCCACACACAGACGGTGCCAGAGCTTGCGAAGGAGGTGACGTGCCCCTTGCTCATGGTGCCCGCCAGCAACGATGAGACCACCATCAAGCCAGGGGGTGAGTTCATGGAAGTGGTGTCCAGCGCATTTCCCACCGCCAAATCGGTGTGTTACGAGAGCATGCTGCATGGCTGGATGACGCGCGCAACTGATGACCCTCTGGTTCCTCAAAAGGCGGGCGCTGAGTCTGTGCGAGAAGCCCATGCATCAGCCCTGAAGCTGGCAGTGGACTTCTTTATTCAGCACGCCTCTGGCGTTCCAGCTTCGTGAGTTTTAATTTTAATACTTGGATGGCCATTACGCGAAGCTCATGGACAATGATGGGATTTGAAGAACCGCGTGAGACATGTCCCCTCAGAGGAACAACAGACTGACATATGTGTCTAATAGAGAGACATGCATGCATAGACACATTCATGCATGCATATACACGTTTGCCTAGCACATTTGTTTCTCTTTCTAAAGAAGAGCTCATTAACGCCTTGAATTGTCAGCTATCGTAGAATGTTTATGTAACCCCGAGGCATATCCGTTGCTCACCCTATTCAAGCGCCTTCTCAGGGTACTTTCCTAGCGAGAAAAACACAAGCTTTTAAGCAGGGACCGTGTGCGCGAGAAACTTTCCTAGCTGGCCCCAGTGATGGCTTGTGCAGTTTGGATTGCCAACTAGCAGCTCCCTAGGCAGGCGCCGATCTCCAAAAAAGAGCCTTTAGCAAGGGTTTATGTCATGCGTTTGTTCTGGATTTCCTCGGAAGTAGCATGCAAGTGGGGATCTGGGGATGTGTTGTATACGTGATATGTGGAAAAAGAGGTGTCGCTGGCCTGGTTTGATGCGCCGTGTTTGGGTCTGCACTCAAGTAAAAAGAATAACTTCACAAAACACAGCCACTCCCCTGCAACATGAGAATTAGGGATCCGACCAGACTTAGAAACCCCTGAACAACGCTATGCCATACGACACGAGTGCAACTAGAAGGGAGGGAATGAGTTTTATTCTGTTGGATAAATCAAACCAGCCCGCTTGGGGGAGCAGGGTGTGAGAAATCTAGCAAACTCGCCAGCTCTGGGATGAACATTTGTGAGAGTATCCTTTTCACGTTGGTTCAAAGGAAAACTGAAAGGACAACCACCTGTTTGTGCTCCCATAGTGATATGCAGCCACGGGTCCCTTCGGTTTGTCAAAGCAAAACGCTCTCAGCCGGTGAGGACCTTGGGAACACGCAGTACCTGGGCGCGGTGCGTCTGGGAACTCCCGGTCAGGAGGTCCAGGCACGATGCTTCGTGCGGTACTTTACCGCACGGTGGGTGGGTTTTGTCTGGAACATGGGCAGGTGCTGGTGGGTGTCGGTTTCAAACGAGAGATCTCAGGGTACCTAATCTGTTCTGCTGGGGTCTGGTGGGACAAATGCACTTCCCAACTGGTGCCGATTGGTTCAGATGTGAATAACCATCAGTATTGGTTGTTTCAGGTGGACGCCACGACTCTTTTTGGTCTGGGATGTCTCCAGCCGAAGCTTATGCTTACCACGTGTCACGCCCTGAGTTTGCCTGCTTTATGCTTTTCCAGAAGGCATTTTTTATTGGCAAACAACAGCAGTTTGAGCTTTTTTTGCCAATCCATTCAGGAAGGGAGCTGTTTTTACGTCGCATGATTATGCTGTCAGCAAGTCTGCAAGGGCTCCACAACGAACAAAGAGAGACATTGTTTGCTTTCGGCACGCAATCTTCCTGGCGTCATGGAAGCTGCCGTGTTGTGTTCTGCTTGCTCAAAATCTTGTTGGACCTGATGCTGGTGGTGCCCCTAGTGCCAGATGGACGCTGGAGTGGATGCGCTCATGATGCTGGTCATTCTTTGAGTCATTTTCGAAGATTCTGGGCAAGTTACAACGAGCTGGCTGATTTGGGATAAAACGAGCACACCCATGATGAGGCTCTTTGCGTAGTTCGCCCAGATGTTTCCCCGGCATGTTGAATCCACTTTGGCGCCCCTCCCCTGCAACAATGAGATGCAGCTGGTGACCATCCTAGAATCACCAATCAGCGAAGGGGACCCAAAGTCCAAAGCAGGACACTGACAGCGATGTGTCTAACGTGCGCGCCGTTTGTCATCAGATTTACAATCAGCAAATAGAACTCTCTCTCTCTCTCTCTGTCTCTCTCTCTCTCTCTCTCTGTCTCTCTCTCTCTCTCTTTGTTTCCCTCTCTCTCTCTCTTTGTCTATCTCCCTCTCACTCTCTCTCTCTCTCTCTACCTCTTTTTTCTCTGTAAACATCCGTTTGGAAAAGTTGAAGCCGTTGCGCTGGAGAGGTTAAGCGACCGGCCGGTGAGGCGGTCTGCCATTTACGTCGTGTGCCAACTGTCAGCTTTCCAGACCTCCCCCCCTCCCCGCCGCACGTAGGTACCAGATCGGTGAAATCAGGGCGCAGTGCAGGGCATTCTCTAACACCACTGGATTATGGCCTCCTTCAGAGGGAAACCAAAAGCAGGTTGACTGACCAATAGTGGTGTACACCAGTGTTTAAACATTGGTTTGAATTGCCCAACCCTGGTGTTGAAAGAATGGAAAGGAGTCCTTGACGGGTTTTTATTTGTTCTTCAAAATATAATATTCGCGAGTCAAAGACCTCCATTCACATGTCATCTGGGCTGTGTCAGACTTCAAGGGGCAGCACCGCGCATGTGGGTTTTGCATAGGCCTCGGATGCCTCGGATGCCAGGTGATTTTTGACACCGGCTCCTCCGACCTCTGGGTCCTAGACAAAGCTTTCGATCCCTCGGCTCTTCGGCTCAAGTTCGGCTTGTTCTCGGCATAAGGGGGCGGGGAATTTGGAACGGGAGCGAGGTGGTCAGGACGCAACGTACCCACAACTGAAGAGACTAAATCTACAACTACTCGAATCGGTCCTGAAAGAGATGGGGAAGGGCAAAGTTCGCTAGGAGATGGTGAGAAGGATGCCTGGAGAGGCTTAGCGCAGGGACTCATGTGGCGACGGAGACGAGTGTTTTTGCGAGACAGCCTCATTCCAATCTGCAAACCTTAGCGCGAACCAAAAAAGCCATGCTAGTCTCCACTCGATGTCGGCTTTAGGCAAATCCGAACGACGCTGCGTCGAAGCGTCCTTTGCAATGGATCAATTCTACGTGCGATTTGGAGCCCTTTCGATCAATGAACAGGTTGATGGGTCAGAGGTCGACGCCGCCAAGTTCCTTTCTTTGGATTTGGGTTTCCGTGTTCTTGAAGCCTTCGGTGTCCAGGTTCGCCGCTAGCATGATGATGTGCGGTCTCCAACCGAGTTCGCAAAGATGGTTTCCTCCTTCCAAAGTTCTAGGCCCATTTTTCCCCCGGATCCTTCTTGTCAGAAAACTACTAAAAAGACCCATATCACGAAAGGCAATGATAGTTGGAATGGACAGGAACCACCCCAGGATTTTTGTTGTTTATTTTTGGCCGTCCTCCAACACTATTTCATATTTTAGATTTCAGGACCGGCCAAACATGGAGCAGAAGCTGAAAGTATGATTTTAGTTTATACTTTGGAAGGGAACAAAACACTTTTAAGGAACACTTCTTTCTGGAAGGGACACTCCAGGAATGGATCGGACTGGCCCCTTTGCCTCAAAAGGCTTCCTCCAGCGCGGTGGACGACGGACGGACGGCCTCAGTGGTCTACGGGGATAGCAAGTCCATCACCGGGAAGTTACTGGAGGCTCCGCTGGGGACGGCAGCGACGTGCTCTTGGGATGCATGGCCCCTTGTGAAAAACAGAGTTTCAGGTCGCCGCCTTTTTTTGATACCGAGGTGTTTTTTCTGCAAAGTGAAGTAGTCATAGGATGTCCCAGCTTACTTTCTCAGAAAGGGACTATCTCGTGCTACGTCACCTTCTCTTTGAGGCATGGCTGATTTTGATTGGGAATTCAAACACCTTTTTGGCGTTTGAAGGCCATCTGCCGGAATCTGCAATATTTTGCCACGCCTGTTGTCATGTACCGCCCATGAAATGGGCCAGTTGCTATCAGTGGTACTCGCAGTTTTGTAGTCGCAGATGGCTATGATGGAACCTCATAAGATTTGCCGCGCGCATCTATCCATCGACACTTTCTGCCAACCATTTTCGTGTTGCGGGCCATGCGGGATGAGTAAAGAGCAGATTCCAACAATTGATTGCCCCCGCCACCCACTTCACGTAAAACGACAGTACTCTTCGCCAACAATCATGGAAGTGGACAAGAGCCTTTTCAAAAAGACGGTCTTCCAAAACCCTTGTGTCCACTTGCTTGGGGATTCTTTATCCTTTTCAGGTGGGAGAATAGAGGGGTCGACTTTCATGAAGAGGGAAGTTCGCTTAGGGTCAACTGACCTCTTTCTGTGTGGGCCCCCCATTTCTACCTGGACACCTGCCCCATTAGCGTGGACTTGGGATGAATCCTCTGAAGCCAACCTATCGCAAACTTTCGCAGCCAGGACAGCGTCTCCCTGGGGGGCATGCGCATCTCTGCGCAGCCGCGTCTTGCCAAGGAGAGAAAGAGAGAGCGGAAGAGAACCGGTTTTGTTTGCGAACAAACATAGCAGCGCGGTCTGCTTTCTTTGTGAACCTGGTAGCAGATGGCATGTCCATGTGAGACGGCGCGGATTTTCCGGCAACGTTTACAAGCAGCATTCAGGCTTTATGAAATTTCGAGGGTGGAACATTGGCCGCGTTTCCTTTTCTTTCCCCCAGGACTGCCGCTTTCCTACTCTCGTCTCAGGGATTTTGGAGCAACACTGTTATTTGGGCATGTCAAAATTGGGGGAACTCCCCAAACTGGTGGATTTGCGTTTTGGTTCCCTTCAAAGCAAGGTGAACAGGGTACCCTACACAGACGCCCACACATTTGTGGCCACAGATGCCATGAAAGAGCCGGCGTGGATCGATTCTGGGCGAATTCTAGCAACACCCGAGATCAAGGCGAACCTGCCAATAACCACCGATTCCAACCCTGATGAAAGCTCCTGCAACTTGCAGGTTTTTGCTCTCAGGCATTATCATGTTGTTGCGTAGGTTGATCGAACATGGACTTTGGGCAGGCCTTTTGCTTCCCATCGTGAACTCAAGATTGCACCTGGAGCTGCTTTCTTGCACTCGTGAATGTGGCAACCGCAGTTCCAACCGATGGTCAAGTGATGTTGGCTCCCTTCCCTGTCGTGGGTCCAGAATGCTTCGACAAAAACAGCCATGTGAAAGCCCTCGTTTGTGGAGACGGCCGGTTGGTCCCCACCTGGAATCCGAAAGGAGACCTGGTTCAAAGCAACGGGCGCCAATTTTCCGCTTCAAATCCACAGACGAAGCCAGTACGAACACCACTCCTCTGGGCCACCAACGCGAACTAGGCACCAGTTCACAAAGCAGCAAACCATGCAGCAGCCAACAGCAACATCCACAACATACCAACCCTGCCAATATCTCAAACCGCTCCTGGGCAGACTGGGCCAGCCATTTTCCTAACGGTGTTTGTACCCCACGAGTAAATCACCCTAAACAGCTTGCTGTTGTTCAACGAAGCCTGGTGAGGAGGTTGTTTCAACACTGGTGGCTTCCGACACACTATTCAATATTTTTGGGTTGGCCACGTATCACAGGTAGCCTGAACATAAGTTTTTGGATGTACCGTGGGCTTGAGCCAAGCTTGTCCACAATCACATGTACCCAGTACACGGTGTCGCTCGCACTGCGAGGCTGCTGGTGGTGCGGCAGGGCATCGACGGTGTGAGAGCCGACGGGGTGTTGGGCCTGGCGATGCCGGGGCTGTCGCATACTGGGGAGACGGTGCTGCAGAACCTGCAGAGGTGGGGAGGGGTTGGCAGGGGTTGGGGGAAAGGGTTGTCGGAGGGGTTGTTTCGGGTGGGGGATCGGGGAATGGGGCAGTGAGTGGTGTGGAGAAGAGGGGCGGCCAAAGTCCAGCGAGTGGCTGGCTCCACAGAACTATGTCCCACCGTCGCACATATTCTTGCCATTGTTTCACAGAATGAAGCCGATCACATGCGGAGCAAGGAGCCCTGCATCACAATGAAGTTTGGCCCGCAGACGAGCGAAATCAACGAATCGCTTGCCAATTTGGCCAGAAAGACTCCACCGAGAGCAGCGAAAGTCTCGAAACGGCTACATGTGCGGCTCAACCACCCGCGGCACGTCCCTGAGTGCCCGTGTTGTTGCTTTGTTTTGCAACACATTCCAATTCAATTATGGATGTCTCGTTCTGCACCCAGGTTAGTCTTTGCAGGTCCATGCTTTTGACTCCTTTGGCTCTGCCGAAAACCTGTTTCTGCGTGTTGTTGTGTCGGTTTTCTGAAATGGTCATGGCAGAAGCGGTTCCCGAAGACAACAAACAGGCCACGACCGTGGTATCCACAAGCCTAGGCCAATCTGGTTTTCCGGCAACAACTGGGGCTTCAACCATCCCAATCCAAATCTGGCTCAACGGGTTCTTTGCTTTGAGAGGGGATCATTGCCAGCGCCATATTTGGGATCTCCAAAGCAGCCGGAAGCAAGCCCAGAGGAGACCAGCCTTGGGCTTGTTTGGAGCCACACGCTTTGTAGCACCTTCCAATTGAGAGGTGAAACCTCTCCATTTGCGAGCCGCGAAGTCAAAATTCAGGCGTGGGGTCTCGAGCTTCTCCTTCGCCCTGTCGGGACCCTCGGGGGACTCCTTCTTCCTGCTGGGCATGCCAGAGGCCTCCTGGTACGAGGCTTGGGGGATCGCATGGCTTTTCAACCCCTTGCTGGAGCGCAGGTGTTTGGGCTTTGTGCGGTGTTGCTGTCTCGTTGTTTGTGGGGGCTGGCTTGGTTCTTGTTTTGTTGGAGGGTTTTGCTGGTTCATTCGGTTCCGTGAGTGGTTTGCGAGGGCATTCCGTTTCTGGGGGATCCTGTTGTGGTTTTGATCTTGCTGGTTCCCGGATCCCAAGGGCCCTCGTCCCCAACGGTCAATTGGCCTCATTGTTTCGCCTCATTTTCTCTCAATCAGGCTTATATAAACTTATATAGATGTAGCTCCTGTACCGAGGTCTTTGGGGGGGTGCCTGCAGGTCCCTAGAAAGGGGGTGGCGAGGGGGTTGGGGGGGGTGGGGGGGTTCAACTACGATTTGCAATTGGCTCTTTCTTCCAATCTTCAAGCCTTCGGGTTAGGCGCACAAGCTTGGTTTTGCTTTTTAAGGTTCTTCAGTTGTTCTTTCTAGCTATATTTGCTCGCCAAGAGCGCTTTGGCTTCGGACGCCGTGCTTTTATTCCAAAGCTTCAAGTTCAGCTTCTGACGATTGGGTTCTGTTTTCTCTTTTGATGTGTTCTTTTGGCGCTTTTGGTTGCTTACACCAGTCTGGTGCTTTGTGGGTTCTGTGAGCCCACAGGAGTTGGCAAATCTAATTTCGGCAAAACAAAGTCTCAGGAAGCATTGCCTTCCATATATATCCAGCTTACCTGTCAACTGTCCGACGCGCGCCGGCTTCCTTGACATGACTGATGAACCGTTTATATGATACGGTACTACGTATTCGTACGAGGAGTCGCTTCATTGCACGGTTTAGTGGGCATCCCCGTCAAATGCCAGCCATATTTGTTTGAGGTTGGCCCAGCGCTGAGCACAAGGAACGGCTACATGGGAGAAATCCCCATGAACCGTTAGCAGCCGGGATCCTGAAAGTGCAGTTCCTGGTCAAGCGCTTTGTTTCTACTGGCATTTAAAGAGCCCTCGAATCAAGTAAGAGATGATCAAGGTACTTTCTGACATCACGATTCCTTTCATATTGGCGTTGTTTCGCTTGTTGGGAGACACAGGCAAGCCAGCCAAGTTTGTGAGGGATCTTGGCAGCTTCTTGCCAGGGCAGACAAATCACCAGGCGCCTTTCGTGCTTGCACCTTCCCGATCCTGTGATGCATGCATGGGATAACTTCTTGGCAGACCATTGCGCACCGTATTGCTTCCACCAGCCACCCCGCCAAAGACCCCTCACCAGTCGCCAAGGCCTTGTTCGGCCTTATTTGGCCTTATTTGGCCTTATTTGGCCTGATGTGGTTTGAGAAAGCGTTAACATGCCTGGCTAATCTCTATCCCTGTCCCGGGTCGTCCCTGACAGGCGGAATCCTTGCGATGGATGCCGTCCTCTCGGGACCTGTGGTGGTCCTTCGAGGCATCCCTGGCCATCGGCGAGGAGGTCATCTTCGAAGGCACGGCTTACTCCAAAGGTGTCAACACGCTCTTCGGAGAAACCCCGCGCTCCGCTCTCCCCGCTCTTCCAGTTTTCTCTTCGCTCTTCTGCTGGACGCTTTCGTTTCCCTGCCTAGCCTCAAGACTTTTCAGGAAGAAACGGAATCGGACCATAGACCTGGCCCCAGAAGCGACTGACGGCAGCGGGACATATCACAAAATCCAGGCAGTGCGGCAGTGCAACCCACCACAGGTCTGGTGGATTTGGCGGTTGTTCCTTGAGGAAGTGATCCGGATTCTTCTGTTAAACGGGTTGCTCCCCGATCAAAATCAAGCAGGGGTTTGTTCATTTGCGGTTTTTCCAGTATAACTCGGGGGCACACATCACTTTTTGGAGGGCCCCCTATGACATGAATCAATCCGGGGTTCTGCTTCCTGGATTCCCACCGCAAGTCGAGGCACCTTCCTGCTGGACTCGGGCACGTCTTATTTGGGCATCCCGGCCTCCATGCGGCCCGGTCAGAATGGCCCGATTTTTGTCCGGGCCACCGGATCACCAGGCCGCCGGGCCACCGGGCCTACCCTTTTGGGCTGTCACAATTGGTTTCAGGTAAATGGTGGCTTTCCTTGGTTCACCCACCTGGCACTTCGAGGGTGATCTCCTTTGGGACACTTTTGCACCTTTCTGGTTCGCGGCCTCTAGAAAGGGGCCGCGAACCCAAGAGGCTCGCTGGAACGGGGATCATGTTGAGCTGGTTGAAGGGCAATCGCGAAGGGCAAAGAGAAGGCACCTTGTCGGCGAAAGCTGCCAGGCGAAACCAGCAGACCCTGTCAAAGGAGTCTTGGAGATTGCAATTTTCGGCAATTACAAGCTTTGCATTCTGCCTGGCGAACAAGTGATTCGTTCTGTGCAGTTCGGCGTCAATTTGTGCTTTGCGTATGCGACCTAGATTTGCTCGAAATCTCTCTCACAACGGATTGCTTTGTCTTTGATTCATGCACCATGTGGTCATGTTTGCAATGTCAGCCAAGAAGAAGGACCGGAGGGTCATCAGGATTCCTGGGCAGGGAGCAGGGACTTGCCATGTTGCCCACTTCAAATAGGATCCCTTTGCTTGCTAGTTGACTCATTGATTCCCGCTGTCTCGCTGAGAGCCTGCAACAAGCAAGTTCCGTTGGACCGCAACCTCGACTGGCAAACATGAACTTTGAGACTCGCAACGTGCGCAGTGAAAGCCAGGCGGGAAATAGCTGGACCAAGAGTAAGATTTCCCTGCGCCAAGGCACAAGCAAGTGGTGCAGAAGATGATGAGGGACTCCTTCCAGCACTGCCGGGTGAGTAGCACGAACCTCTTCATTTGCGACTGCTGCTGGCCTGAGGAAGTCCAGAGGAGATGAGGGGGTATCTTCATCCCTTTTCGGTTGACTCAGCGAAAATGCAAAAGTTAGCGACTTGCAATGATCCGGGGGTTTGCAGCACACTAGTTGAGCATTGAGGAGGGCGCCGTGGCCAGTGAGAAACTCTAAAGATCTGGCTTTCTTTCAGCTGAACAGTTCCCCCTGAAAGTTTCAATGTGTACCCTGAAAGACACCCAAATAGTACTGTCGGAGAGGTTCGTAAGATACCGTATCCGCAAGCAAGGAGGCCAATGAGGAAGGCTCAAAATTGTTATTTTCCAGAGCTAGGACCACAGGACTTGAACCTGCGACCGACACGTGGGACACGCGATCAGGTCGTCATTGGGATAACTAAAACTTCTTGATCATCATGGAGTCTAAGGTTGGACCACAGATCACGGATTGGCGGCCAGACGTGCCATGCATTTCACTCCGGGTGCGTGGGAGTTTTGGTTGTTGCTTGTGGGGCATTCTTTTGAGGGTACCGTGACACCATGATCCACAACTGATAGATGTCTGATGGTGCACATTATTTTACCAGCACTCCTTGCAGTCACCGGATTTCTTCGGGGTTTGCCGACTGCCGGAGACCGGATATGTCTTTCGTGCGACGGATTGTCGGAGAGGCTTCGAGTCGGCGAGAGCGGGGTGTTCGGGGGGGGGGGGTCGAGGCTCCGCTGCTTCGCAGATGCTGAGCGCGGGTGTCATCGTGGGAGACCAGGCGCTGGTGCCGAAGGGTGCCAGGGGTTTGATAGCGCTGCCACCATCAATGGTGTTGTTTTCGTAGGGTAGGGGTGCAAAACCACCTTACCGTTGCCGCTGTTTTCTGGGAAAGTGATATTGACAGGAGTCCCTGGGAAAGACTGGAGGGAAGATTCAGATTCTCGAATGCGAAGAAGACGAGAGGCTTTCCACTGCACAAAATCCAGTTTTTGTCCTTCCTTGACAAAGGTTTCCTTTTTCCCGTAGGCACGGAGGTCTGGGAAAAGCCCTGTCCCTTGACAACCGCAGCCCAACGATTTCGGTGCAGCAACCTAAATTCGGAAATTATGCATCCCTGCAAAACGGACATCTCGGCCGGCTGCGTGAATCTCAGCCACCCAGTCAACAGGCTCCGCCACCACCGGGAGCTTACAAAGGTGGCCCGGGTTGAAATGCCTCAAGCCAAGGAGTCATTCGGGCTTGTTTGTGTTTTGTTGGGTACCTTTTCAGGGGGTGGTTTTCAAGGGAGTCCCAAAGGAAGACCACTATTTTGGGGTCCCCATATTTTGACACACACACACACACACACCCTCATTTTGTGAAGGCCTTGCATTTGCTTGTTTCAGAAAATGGTTTCGGATGCCGGATCACCCTTACATCATGGCAGTGCACCACAAATTTTCTGGTGATTCAAAGGACACCAGCAGGGAAGCCTGAATAGCACCTGTGGAAGCGTACCTGGAAGATCAGTTTCCTTTTGACCATTTCCTTGGCGCCACGGCAACGTGAGACCCGGGCCATCTTGGGGGAACCAACGTAGGTTGTGCAAACAAAGGTATTCACCAAGTTTTACACCCAACCATGGTGGGTCCCCTTAAGAAGATACCGGTTCCTGTAGTGTAGCCATAACGACGGGTTCCGGAAAAACAAGGAGAGCCGGGGAACCCAAAAACCAAGATGCGAACAAATATTTGTGAATGACTGTCGGCGAACTGCTTGCCCAAGCAGTTTGCAGGCAGGAGCTCGTGGGCAACACAGGAAGACCGACAATGCTGCTACTGCTGATGCGTGGATTATGCCTTTTTGCTATGGCCCCTTGAGGGCTCCACGGACAATTGGGTTTTTGCAAGCAGCAAAAGCTCTTAGGTGGTAGCCTTGCACTGAGCTGCAAGCATCGGACCAGAGCAAGAGAAATGCGAATCCAGGACGCGGCAGTCGAAACTACATCGTTGCAACAAGCCATGGTTTGTCACGTTTTCTCGGAGCTTCTTGCCGTTTTTGGCGCGCGGCCTCCAGCACCTCCCGTCACCTCCGCGCTGATTGCATCCGCAGAAGCAAATCCCACCGGCGCACGCCGCCGTCACCTCCATCCTTGCCGCCTCCGCCAAGCCAAATCCCACCGGCGTACGGACGACCGCGCCTCGTTATCGCTGCGCCTCTGTGGACCAAATCCCACCGGCGCGCGGCCTCCAGCACCTCCCGTCACCTCGGCGCTGCAATTCAGCCGGCGCAGTCACTGACAGTCAAGGTCGTCCCGGCAATTCAGCCCGCAAGCCGCGCGCGGCCTCCAGCACCTCCCGTTACCTCGGCGCTCGTTGCAATTCAGCCGGCATACTTACCGACAGTCAAGGTCGTCCCGGCAATTCACCCGGCAAGCCGCTCGTTCGGCCATTTCTCCGCCAGCGGCGCTTGCACGGTATGCTGCAAACTCGGTACACTTGAAGCCCGACCACCTGCGGTATGCGCTAAACTCGGCAAAGCTCGGCACACTTGAGACCGGTCGCGTTCTTGGCGGCGCTTGCGCGGTATGCTGCAAACTCGGCCCTGCGGTATGCGGTAAACTTGGCACACTTGAGACCCGTCCCGTTCTTGCCGGCAATTCAGCCGGCAGGCCACCTGTTCGGCCATTTGCCGGCCAGTGGCGTTTACACGGCATGCTGCAAACATGGCACACTTCAGGCCGAACCCCTGCCGATTCTCGCTCCCTCGCGGTTAGACAACTAAACGAGAACCCAACCCCAGATGGGTTTTTGGGAAAAAGGAAAAACAAGTCACCGAAAAAACGGGTATCCTAAAACATCCGCCAGGTCTTCGGACTGCCACCCGCGAGCTTGATGACACCTTTGAGCGTCCTGGACTTGGACTGCGTTGTGGAGGCGCTCGGAGGGTCACCTCCGAAGATCGCCGTGCAGGCGGCTTTTTGAAGGGAAGCCAAACGGAAATCACCATTTTCTGAGTTCCCCTATGTTGAGAAGCACATTTTTGCTGATCTCAGATTTCAGGGCAGACCAAATATGGCTGCCTCAAGAATCGGGTACCCCCCCCCCAGTTTGTAAAGAAAGACAACAAAATCTGCGGTCGCCCGGCTCCAGAATTTTGAGCCACACCCGAGATAAGAATATGAACATCAGATTCAGGACCAATATGAGGGGAACAGAGAACCCTTCAATCAGAACCGCCTCTAACAAAATCCCTTTCGAACCTCGGGAGGGGGGGTGGACAGGAGACAAGAGCCCTTCGCCTTCTGGAGACATTTGGAGACAGCGCAATGGGAACCGGCTGAACACCTTTTCTGGGCAAACTGGTGCGCTCCAAAGAGGGTTGGAGATTCCACATTATCACACACCCTCCCTCCCACTAAGATTGCACCTCTAGAGGAAATTTGTCTTTCAGGCGCTTCGTGGGAGAAGGGTAATTTCTCTCTGCAAATCACTGGGAAGGTGCCTCGCGGGGACGGGGGTGGTTGCCTCCGCTTGGCACAGGTGCAGAAGCTGTCTGTGCGGGCGCCCAAATTTTCACGCGAAACAGGGGACAGGAGATGGCAGGAGACGGCGGGACAGGGACTGAAACATTGCTAACATGGATGTTCCCATGGTGACTTAGTTTAGTCTTAGGGTACTCAAAGCACAAATTCTAAATGAGTTGGCCCCTTATATTACAAGGGCCGTTCAATAGTCCGGATGTTGTGGGGTACTAAACCAGATTAGCCCTTGTATAATATTGCACGGAGAACACACAGCACTGCTTCAACTTCTTGCACTTGCCTCACTGGTTGGGACTATGAGTGGGAGTGGGCTGGCATTCCAGGCCTCCTGGGCAGGGTTGGGTGCGGTAGGGGTGCAGGTGTCCCGGGGTTCTGCGTTGATCCCCAACAATGTTCGCCAAATCGAGATGTGAGTCCTTTTCCGAGAAACTGGCCCACCATCTCATTCATTTCGGAATACGCATTGCTCGGGTCTTGACACATTCAGCTAGGACGGGCTGCCAGTTATCCTCGGAGACTCTTGGTTGCACTGCTCGGCATGGTACAGGGGAACGGCCAGCTTTTTGGTTGGTCTGCGACCGGGTTGGCTGAAATTATGTGAGAATGAGCTGGCAACCGTTTTTATTGACTCCCGAACATTCTCGCGCGCGCGCGCGCGCCTGTGTGTGTGTGTGTGTGTGTGTGGGCGTGCGCGTGCGCGTGCGCGTGCGCGTGCGCGTGCGCGTGTGCGTGTGCGTGTGCGTGTGCGTGTGCGTGTGCGTGTGTGTGTGTGTGTGTGTGTGTGTGTGTGTGTTGAGAGTACAGTAATTACTTAGCTTGGAGTTGGTTTTAAGGGAAAGCATATTGCGAGACATATTCATGGGATTATGCACATATGCTGGTGTTTCTTTTTCCTATAAACGTGCACGGTGGGCAAACAGTGGCACCAAAGCAGGCGACGAGCCTTGCCTTCCCTGCACTAGCATTGCAAATGGAGGGGGACTGATGCACATGTCACCGGCATTTCCACAATCGACCGGCAATTTGCTGGCAACATATCATCCAGCAGCTCCCTGGAGTTCCCTGATTCTGTTTTGACCGCGATTATGTCACGACGGGCCGCACTCCCTTTGTTTGATGACAGAGCACATGCACACACCCTCATTTCAAGCTATGTAGATGGTTTGGTTGCTTAGCAGCAAAGGCTTCTCTGAAGGAGAACACGCCTGCAATGGCCTATTGCTTTCCGCCAAACAGGTTGCAAACGACTGCCTTCTTTGATCTCCGTTGTTGCCGCATTGTTGCACAGATTGGGCAGCCACTTAGCATGAGCCGACCCTGGAGCCCAAGATGGGATCAAATAGAAGGCTCACTGCAAAACGAGCCACCAACTGCAAACACCCCCTCGCATGGCTGACTAACATGTTCGCCCAAAAGAATTGTTTGATCTTCCGAACCTCTCTTGCCCCTTTCGCCTGCGAAGAGGTTTGGTCGAAGTAGGTACTCTACGGTCAGGGACAACAGGGGAGCAAACTCAATTTTCCAGAGGATGCAACGTTTCAAATGCATAGTTTGCCCGTGGATCCTGTCGAGTTGCGTGTCTCTATGTTTTTGCGTTTTGGGGTTGGTTTGAAGGGGAAGAGCGGTTCCACTACTTGGTTTCATAAAATCATGATGGGGTCAAGAGAACGCCTTTGTCGCCATCTTAGAACCAAGCGTCAGCTCGGCTTTCCGGCGTTGCGTTGAGGACACCTTCCTCCGCACGGTGGTGGCGGTGTTTGACACCGAGCCCCTGCCCCGCATTGGCCTGGCGCGCCGGAAAGGCGGCGCCGAGATGGTGCGCCTGGGCCCGCGGCTTGGAAGGAATATTTGGGTGTCTTCTTTTGAGTGCCCCCTTTGGAGTCGTTTTCAACCATCAAACAAACGCACTATTTTGAGCAGGGACCGTATTTTAGAATATATGTACATATATATATGTAATGTATGTATGTATGTATGTATGTATGTATGTATGTATGTATGTATGTATGTATGTATGTATGTATGTATGTATGTATGTATGTATGTATGTATGTATGTATGTATGTATGTATGTATGTATGTATGTATGTATGTATGTATGTATGTATGTATGTATGTATGTATGTATGTATGTATGTATGTATGTATGTATGTATGTATGTATGTATGTATGTATGTATGTATGTATGTATGTATGTATGTATGTATGTATGTATGTATGTATGTATGTATGTATGTATGTATGTATGTATGTATGTATGTATGTATGTATGTATGTATGTATGTATGTATGTATGTATGTATGTATGTATGTATGTATGTATGTATGTATGTATGTATGTATGTATGTATGTATGTATGTATGTATGTATGTATGTATGTATGTATGTATGTAATGTAATGTAATGTAATGTAATGTATGTAATGTAATGTATGTAATGTAATGTAATGTAATGTATGTAATGTAATGTAATGTTATGTTATGTTATGTTATGTTATGTTATGTTATGTTATGTTATGTTATGTTATGTTATGTTATGTTATGTTATGTTATGTTATGTTATGTTATGTTATGTTATGTTATGTTATGTTATGTTATGTTATGTTATGTTATGTTATGTTATGTTATGTTATGTTATGTTATGTTATGTTATGTTATGTTATGTTATGTTATGTTATGTTATGTTATGTTATGTTATGTTATGTTATGTTATGTTATGTTATGTTATGTTATGTTATGTTATGTTATGTTATGTTATGTTATGTTATGTTATGTTATGTTATGTTATGTTATGTTATGTTATGTTATGTTATGTTATGTATGTATGTATGTTATGTATGTATGTATGTTATATGTATGTATGTATGTATGTATGTATGTATGTATGTATGTATGTATGTATGTATGTATGTATGTATGTAATGTATGTATGTATGTATGTATGTATGTATGTATGTATGTATGTATGTATGTATGTATGTATGTATGTATATGTATTATATGTATATATTCTGCCTATTCCTGAGTTCATGTGGGTGAATTCTTGTGAATGTGCAGACATTTTCGGATGGTTGCCGCAGGCTGCAATCCCAGTTTTACCTGACGCTCTGGTTGCCTATTGCGCGGGCGGGCGGGGGCACTTGAAGTACCTGAAATGCGCAACCCAAATTGGTCGATTTTGGGAATCTCACCCTTTGGGTTTCCTGACTTGGTCTTTCGAGAACTTGGGAAACCTTGCAACCATGCGCCAATTTTAGGCATAAGTGGAGAGATGGAGGGCGGAAGAGCAGGAAGCAGGGTTCCAAGATGGGTGTCCTTGTAAACCGTGCTCTATAAAGTGACATTCTCACACGCTCTCAAAATGGTGGTGCAAATTGTCCCACCCCCGAAAAGTCCTTTTGAAAACCCCTCAAGCTGCAACCACTTTCAGAACCCAGACATAGGGCACGAGGTGCTTTGCACATGATTGTGGCGAGTTGGAAACCCCTGCCATGGTTTCGACCTTGCCCGGCGCCGAGCCACCTTGTAAGGGTCAATCCGCCACATGGAAGACGGCGCCGATTGCCCTAGTGTAAGCTTCAGACAACCATGCTAAAAAAAAATGTGTTCTTGACAGGGTCTACTTCGAAGGATTGGGATGAGGCCGTATTTTCCTTTCGGTGAACATTTTGCTCTCACTTTTCTCCGATCAAGCAGGCATGATTCATACCCTGGCATTTGCAGAAGTAGGGGTAGGGGCTTAAGTGGACCGTGTCATTGGCTACCCTGCCGCTTCCAAACATGAGCGGCCGGAAGGCTAATTCACCTATTCACAGCATTTTTTTTCCAGCGGCCTCCCTTGGGAGCTTGCGTTGGTGGTTTTCAGGATCGACCTCTCGCGCGCACGCATTGTTAGGCTGTCATATGACCCGCTGGATCAAGCTGGTGTGGGGCTGTTCGTTGAGCTGATGCTCCTGCATCTTGGCATTTGAGTCGCCGCCGTTGAGGTACTGGGTGTGCCTTGCTCCCTTCGTTAAACGCAGTCCGCGCCACTGGTGAGGCCCTTGGGCCCTTGATTTTTCCGCAAAGGAGGGCATGCGCCGCTGAAAAACCATATCCTGATTTGGCCGGACTTGATTTCAGCCATTGTTCCGCTGGCCAGCTGGAATTCATGCCGGGTTGGGAGGGTGAGTCAACATTGGTTTAGCCATTGCGCTTCAAAGGGAAACGGTTGTTTAAAACAAGGGGCCTTCCCATTTGGAGCGTGGGAGATTCCCAGGCTTTACATGAAGGTGTGCATGTGCCTTCAAAAATCCAAGCGTAGGACCAAAAAGGCATCAGACAAGAGACATGAGGCCCATAAACAGTAAGTAAAATCAAATGGGGGATCCAATTTCAACAGATCTGCGGGGAGCCTTTGGGTTGCCTGTGAACTGCCGAACTGCCGAGGGTTTCGCTGTGCACCGGTGTCATCTTCTGCCTTGAGAAGCTTTGTAGGCGCGCAGGAGACTTTTGGACGACCTTTGGGCCAACGTCTCAGCTTTGCACAGGAAGCGCCGTATGTGGGGGTCTTGTTTTTCCAGGCCCAAGTCTGTTGTTTGACCTCCATCTTACCTTTTGGTTTGTGGCCCAAACCCAGAAAAGTGGCGGCGACGGCCCCAGCCGCAACCCAAGTTTCTTTCTGGTCATGGCTCTCTCTATGACTCTATGGCTCACTGAAGGAAATCACAACTTTGGGCTGGGCAAAGAAACAACTAATGCATGCGGGCGGGCCCTGCTTGAGATCATTTAAATGGCAGCAACCCAACACAGCTTCCGACGTCGTGGTAGGTTGGGTCTTGTTTCAACTTGAGGAAGTTGTTCAGGTTCTTTTTGGGGCATTGTGACATTTTTGATGGGGGGCATTGGGGTTTCGTTGCGATTGATCTCCATCCTTCGCCTGTCTCACTCGCAGCCAGGGCTTGGACCTCGCCGTCGCGGGCGCGACACGCGGTCAAGGAGGTGGATGGCGAGGCGCCCTATCTCCGCCTGTGAGCGGCTTGGCGGCTCCGCAGCGCTGCGTGCTTGGTAGGAGGCAACGCCTGTCTGCTGGCACGGCCATGTGCCATCAGAGCCCTCGTCAGCCGCAAGAGATCTTGAGCGGGGCCTGCTCGAATCCGACGAGCATCCGCCAAGATGCGGCAGTGGAGGACGGTGAGGACTTTTAGTGGCTACTTTGGCGCCTGGGCGGACCTTGTCAGACGGTTGCTAGCCGGCGAGAGTTGGGGCTGCCATGCGCTGGAGAAAGGGCTGCGCCGGCTGGTCATGGCTTCTGGCTTGACACGTGAAGCTGCTTTTCCTTAACAGCGACCGCCATGGGTCGGTTCCCCAATCCCATGTCCACATGGCAGGCTGTCGGGTATCTCTAAATCGATTGGTCGTTTGGGGATTTGAATCCCTTTGCCCGACTGTAGTTCTTGCTGAGGGTTAATGGGAAGCTCCTCCCAAGCCAATCCAAATCACCACTTTCAACGGAAGCCGCGGGAAACGCAAGTCGCGTCTTCAGGCGCAGTTCCAAGGCTTCCGTGACTCCTTGGTCTACCTGATGGCTGTTGGTCACGCCACCGCAGACCCTGTAAGAACTTGGACATGCTTTTGGGAGCTAAGAGAAGACAGAGAGGCAGATCATTTTGTCGAGTTCTAGGTCAACGGAATTGCACCTCCCTTCAAAGTATTTTCGTGGGTTTCTGTTAGTGGCTGGGTTTTGGGAGATGTCTACGTGCCGGCGAACAAAATTTGCTGGCCATGTCCCATCCTTTGATAATTTGCTGTTCTTTTTCAAAGCTTTTGTGACAGAGAAACGGACGAGAAATGAAAGAGAGTAGACCGAAAGGAATGGGAAGTCATTCCCTCTCTCTCTCTCTCTCTTTCCCTCACTTCATCTCATCTCATCTCATCTCATCTCTTCATTTCTCTTTACTTGGATTTTAAGACCCAAACCGTTCACTACCTACCTCCTCACTCTATTCATTTCCCTTTTCAGCCCGTTTAGACATTACCTTTTGGGCCAAATTTTTGACGAGTTCCCTCAAGTGGGTTGATGTTTAAGGGAGAAATATGGAGAGCCGTGACAAAGACGAGCAGCCAGGCTGCGAGACGAAAGGTATGGCGGTGCACCAGCTTATGAAGATTTTGGGTGTGCGGAAGGAGGTGAACCGCATCGACCGCGACAAGCTGGCGGCCCAATGGGATATTTGTGTGTCAATGCGTCAAACATCTGCCCATTTCATGTCGAGCTCACCAGTGAGTAAAACGGGCTCACCGTGATCTTGGTGGGGATCCTCATTGCAGGTTTTAGAATTATTTCAGGTTTTAGAATTATTGCAGAATTTGCAGTGCAAAGGTGGTCTTCCGGTTGGCTTCCCTTTAAACCAAGGTGAGAAGGGCAGCCAAGTGGCCTTGGTAGCCGGGAAATGCCCCAAAACGTTTTCAAACGAGATGGGAGTGGTGCCCTCATGTTGCTTTTCTGGATTTAGTGATTTGTGGCTCAAGCCAGGAGACCATCGTTCATCATCCGTGATAGACTTCATCATAATATCAGAGCATTCCAGTGGAGAATAAACCACAAGAAAGACTTTAAAGAGACAGAGCCGATCTCCAGAAGAAGCATCCCTCTATGGATCTCCAATCTTGGGTGCATCCGATACAGAGACAGACACTTCCTCAAGGCGCGACTCTTGCGGGTTCAGGGTCCCTTGACAGAAGCTGAGCGGTGAACGGCTGGGTTTACCAGCTGTGCGAGTTGCATCAAGGTGTCTGAATTTTGGCCAAGTTTGTGGTACAATGGAACCGCGGCTCGCAAGCCAGTTTCTCAGGTGTGAAAGGCAGATTGTTGCCCTGGCCATACTATTTGATGGCACCTGTAGGAACCGTGCCCTTCAGTTTACTCCTGACACTGGCCCTTTTCTGGCTCTGTTTTGGCAGAATTTGGCTGTGGTTGCCCCTTTTGGGGCGGATCCAGGGATGCGAGGAAGGAAACCACTTGGAGGGGGCGCTTGCGACTTTAGACTCCAGGCAGTTGAAGATTTCACGGAGGCCGGTCCTTCGCCTGAGGCACTTGAACATCCGACTCGTCCATTTGCGGCAGCCATGGATGGAGAAGTACTTTGCGAAGAGGAGAGGGCTCAGCAAAAGCTTGCCGCCATGTAGGAGCATGTTGGGGCATTGGGGCGGCTCGCTTCGGAGGACTAATCCGGAGGTACTAATTGGGGGTGGTTGCTCCTTGGACTAAGGAACATTTCCACTTTATGGGGTTTCTTTGGCTCTAGTAAGGCCCTCCGCATTAATCCGAAGGTGATATCAACACTGAAAGTTACAACTCCCAATTCGGAGGTCTTGTCAATTGTTGCCCATGATGCTTTTTCTAGGATCCCTCATTGAGGGATGAATCAAACGAGGCAACCGACTGGTTGTTGTGACCAATGTGAGTCTGCAGTACAGATGAAACAACAGGGAATCCTGCAAGCAAAGGGCTTGGACGGATTGTGCCTTGTGGCGTCGGTTCTATTCTTGTGAGAGGTTCGTGCATCCTTTTTGTGGGTGAAACTGGGCTGAGGGCGGTTCTGAAGCAGCATTCTTGCTCTGTTGCTGGTGGTAGGTCAAGCGTGAGAGGTTGGATCAATCACAACCACAGATGTTGATGAGGGGTGTTTCGCTTTTGAGCTAGGAGCCCAAAGAACTGGAGCATATTGATATCGGTGCCCTGAAATCACACTGGCCACGTTGGATGCCCGGCCTTGTGGCATGGCTTAGCTTCCCTGAGCGGCTCGGTCGCTCTGCCAGGGACACGCCGCCGGAGGAGGCGTATATTGAGGATGGGGCGAGGGAAGGCGCCTGGAGCTAGGCCTGGTCGGATTTGATTTTGATTTCCCGCCTTTTGTTGGACATTTGTACTATGACACTTGTACGTCCACCGATTTCTCTTGTCCTTGACATTAAGCATTGTCAGCAATTCCTTTTGGTGTTTCAGTTGGGCTTGAGCAGGTTGATCTGATTTGTTCCCCCGGTATCCTTCATGACCTTTCTCAAACACATCTGCCGTGGTCGAACCATTTTTTCACTTGGGTGGCAGGGATTTTCATCGACCTCTCAATGGGGGATGTAGACAACCATTGTAGGGGTTTCTAGTAGGGGAGCCTTTTCCATGGCTTGCGGGAGGAGGTTTGATATAGGCAACACCACACTAACAGCAAGAGAACCACCGCAAGCAGGAACAAGTCGGGCAATTGTGTCCCTGTCTACTCTAGCGCGGGGCTTCTACATGATTCCTGGAGTTCTGAATGCTGGGTTGGCTTTGCGTAAGTTTGGAGCACCAGATCGCTGTGTAACCTCAAAGTAATGACCGAACCACAAGGGTAGAACATTGTGAGAAAACACAATGGGTACCGAGTATGCGGGAGAACATGCTGCTCAGCTATCATATCGAGTAGCCCCTCTTCTCCTTGCGCGGCTCGGCTCCTTTTGGCCCAACATTTTTGTACTTGCCAGCTTGCATGGTGCTAGCTTGTGAAAGATTTGTCGCGTAGGACCCGTTCGACCTCCTGAGCATCAACATGTACCCTGCGCAGGCTGGGCCAGGAAAAACAGTTTCAGTGTTACCTCAACAGCCGAGTTGACTCTTTCTTTCAGGCACTGCACCCTCAAAAAACCTCACAGTTGGGGAAAAGCAGCAACTGGCGATCCAGGTGGCTCCTTTTTCAGTGATATCTTTCGTATGTCGTAACTAGCACTTTGCGGCTTTTATTCTGAGGTTCGCCCTGCTGGAGGCTTCGTTATCCTGCTGCCTGTGTATCTCCAAAGTTCGGGATCCAAACGTCGACTGAACGATTTGGTTCCCCGACAGGGCCCGAGACTGGTGACTTTCTTGGCACAACGCTGGAACTGTAGCAGGAGATGTGACCGCCACAAGATTTTTCGTGCTTTCCTGCCAGGCGACGTTTGTCCCGGTACCATCTCGGACTGGGCTGGAAGATCGGCAGGCCTACACCACTGGGTCGGCCGGGAACAACTCCGTGGAGCCGGCAAAGGAGCCCTTCCTGGCCCGGGGCCCAGGGACACCCTGCAAATCCGTGGGTTGGGGGGATTCGACCCCTGTTTGTTTGAGCTTTCTCCCAGGGGGGCAACGGGGTAGGGTGTGTGTGTCATTCGGCCTCGTGTTGAGGTTCTCTGGGAATTGGGGCACCTTTTGGTGGTTCACCCAAAGCGGTGATGTTTCATCTTAGCGATGGGTCCATGAGGTACGTGTCAAAAAAGGGGACCTCACCAAGTTGTGGTTTCCTATTGATTTCCCTTTTATCCAACCTAAAAAAGGGTACCCTCAAAATAAGCAAGCCCACAGCCATTGCCCCTTTCTCAGCGGTGCGCACAGAGCGCTGCAGAATTCAAAGCCTGCGATCCAGTGCGAGCCACCTGAGATCCCTTTTACTGGGGTGGGCCTTCAATTCATTGCATGCAATCGATTGCAATTGTGGGTAGTAGATGATACCACTTTGTCACGCTACTCCCCCCACCCATAGTCAATATTTCTTGCAAGACGCTGGCATATGCTGGCATCAGAGTAGAAAACTGGTATGTGGACAAGCGAGATATGAGCAAACCAATGTTGTACCCTTGGGATTTGCGGTTGACTTGAACACGAGCAGAGCAACCGGTGGCTCCTTTCCACAGCATCCCCACAGCATGGAACTCATTTGAACTGCAGCCATCTCCCGAGCCAGACAAAAAACTGTTCTCAAATTGGGTTCCAGCTGGACCGGAAGAAAGATCAAAAGCTGCAAGATCAACAAACTGACCGACTCGCCCTTGAGTCTAGAGGGGTCCAACAAGCTGGCTCTAAACAACCATCTCTAGATCCCTTGCACGCGAAACAAAGGGCGGATGTTGAACCAAGAGTGGCTAAAACGCGGCTGGCTTGAGCAGCCAACAACCCATAGAGTCACGGCCTGGTCATCACCATACCACTTGAAATAAAGTCCTCACCTAAATGTCTCAAGAAGAGAATCATCAACCTCTCATTAAGCAGCCATACACCAACATACAACCAGAGGCGCCCAAGACTTCCTCTAAGGGAGTCACCATGCAGGGTTGGTTTTGTTAAAACCGGCCGCTGGGCTTCCCGAAGGAAAGTGGGTTCTGTTCAGTTTGGTTTGAACTCTGTCGCCCAAGCCATTGAGCGAGAGGCGCGGTTTCTGGGCCAGCGCCACGGGCTCTCGGAGTTGGACGTGGAAGCCCTCGGGGACCTGTGCGCCACGCGCGTTGCGCACGCTACGCGCGGGTCTTTTTCCTTTTTTTGTTTTCTTTTTCGGGGGGGGGGGTGAGGCGGGGGGGCGGGGGAGCAGGGTCTACCGGGCCTTTCGGGCCTAACCTCAACCTTGCAAAGGATTCTGGTAGAGCCAAGCCAGGTCAAATCCTTGTCAAATGGGGAGCTCCAGAGCTCAATTCCCCCCAACATCATTGGACAGCAACTGGATTTGTTTGGGGTGGTTCTAGACATCAAGCTCAAGCGGAAGAGTGCAGGGCATTGGGGACTATATCAGCGTTCGATACACGGTGAGAAACAACGCCAAACCCGGAATCGAGTTTTGTCAAAACACACCCGTTTTGGCGACAATCACTGTAGTGGAACCAACCATAGCGTTAGATACTGGTGTATCATGTCCAGTCCGAAAAGACTCATGTTCTAAAGTATTCTTGACTTACAGAAAACGTCACTAGTTTGACTGAGATAGTTTAGACCTTAGGTATCCATATATGTAATGAAACTAGTGAACAGATTGCTTACTTTGTCAACTCATTTCAGACAAGCCGACTCATATCAAACAAACCACCCGCAGTCGGCATAGTCAAATCGCAGTACCTCATCTTCCATATTTCACTCGCAAGTCCATTTTCAACAGAAATTGTCAAGAAGAGCTAACGGAGAACGAGTGCAGATTCGGAGTCAATAGACTCAAACTAATCCTTAATATCCCTACTCGGTCCAGGGTGGTGCTCAGTTCTTTGGGCGCCAAGGCTGCTCTGCTGTTCGCAGCCAGCCGCCGCCTGTCCCACCTTACTTGCTGCCGCTGCATGTGCATGTGTGGGACCTAAACCTCGATGGAGCTATCGAGGCGGCCCCAATCTCCAGGACGTGCATCTCAGCGCGGCCTAGTACTGCAGGGAGGCTGCCACGCTGTCCTGCCCTTATGCCGGTCCACGAAGACTTTTCTGCGTGGGTGCAGGTGGCCGGCCTGCGCATGAGTTCTTAGATGAATGTGGGGCCGGCCTTGCCGTGATGCACAGGCTTGTGCTGTGCTGTGCAGCAGGCCGTCCCACAAACAAATACAAACGAAGGAAGGTTACTTTTAGAAGGCCCACAATACTCAGTGCATTGAAACGATGTGAACAAAGAATTGAACAAGTATCTTCTCCTTTCTGGAACGAAATGCGAACTGAAGTGCAACAAAGAGTTTATAGCCCCTGAAATCTTGGTTTAAAGACATTTTCACCTTCCCTTTGTCCAACCGAGGAGGCCCACCAGAACCTCCACCATCATACGTCCCAAATCACTTTCGAAACTGTTTCGGGCCCTTGCCCTCGTGTCGCGGAGGTACGGGTGCCCGGCCAAGATCGCCCCGAGCGAGCCGACCCGGGCAGGGCAGCCGAGATTTTTTGGGGCACTGGCCGCAGGCCTCGGCAGCGTGCATCGGCTCGTGCCCATTCCGCCGCCCCCGGTTTTGTGATGAATGAAACCAGTTTTGACACATTTGCACTTAGCTTCAGCTCACAAACTTTTCGGGAGTCGCGCAAACAAGCGATCGCAAAGAGGCAAGTCCAAACTGTTGCACTCTCGGAGATCCCTTTCCTTTGGGGCTGCAGAGCTTCAGGTCAGCGAAGCGACGGCGCTTACGTAGATCCGAGCTGCTTTTGTGAGTTGCCCTTGTGAGATGGTCCATCAGTCCCTGTGTAAAGTAGTTTGGTCAAACACGATTTTGTAAGGCTCAACGCTCTTGTTTTTGATCTTGCTGGATCCTGGCTCCTTTGCTGCTTGTCACTTGCATGCGGTGGCTGGATCTTCTGCTTTGCGGTTTGACTTTTCGGCCTGGGCTAGGACTTGAATTCTCCATTAGGAAGTTAGGAAGTGCCTGCAGACATTTGAGGGTTTGTTTTCTTGCTGACTCTGCGAAGCTCGCTCTCTGCGTAAGCTTACAAGACAAAGTGTTCTGGATTCATTGCAGCATCCTGATGTTTTACCTCCTTTGAGGCCGACATGCATTTGTCACATGCTGACGAGTTAGCCGTTGCAACCTAGTGGCGCGTGAATCGGTCTCACAGCCCATAAGCCCCCTACAACCCTAGTTTGATAGAACCCAGAAGACCCATAACCCCCTCTATCAGACCCCAATCAATTCCTAAAAGAGTGCCATTCAAGACCCCTACGGGCCACGGCTGCCTTCATGGCTTTGAGTCAGGCTCGGTCCTCTGGACTTGCAGTGCCGGGATTTGTGGGATTGAAAAACAATCACAGCAACTTGTTTGTTTGTATTGAAATCGCTGCGCGATCCGCCGACGCCAGTGGACAGTCCCCACATGTGCTCGACTTCTATTCCATATGTTGACTCTCATGTACCAGTTATTTGTCTTACTGAGCCTCGGCGCGATTTTTTGTTCAATCTTGTGAGTCAAGATATCTTTGCGCACTCGTAAAGACTGAATGCCAATATCTAAGAGAGTATTCAATTGGCATCGGTGCACCGATCTTGAAACTCGCTAGTCGCATCACACAGATGCGTGCAGTCGGACAAGCATGCAACCAGCGGATTGAGAGAAAAAGGCTTTGGCTGGGTGGGAGCGACGACAGCTGTAAAGCTGCGTTTGGCTGTCAGACACAGCGTACCCCATTTTTAGAGGGCTCCCTCATTGCCTTACTTGCATCATGGTGGGGAGTCACGTCCACCAACCAGCCAACCAGGTAACCACTTTTGAAGTGGTTCCCCGTTGAAGTTCGCCTCTTCATTTCTTTCTCATTTCCAGCAACCTGGTCACCTCTGTCTGAGGCCCTGGCTCAGCTGTTTCTGCAGGGCAAAGGGCTGGTCTACGACGGCAGCTGTGCGGCAGCCCGGGTGGAAAGTGGGATTGTTTCCAAATGGAACCCTCAAAACGGCAGGGTTCCATGTGCTTTCCTTTAAACCTGCCCCCAAATGAGGCAACTCACGAAAGACATGCCCGAGTACAGCCTAAGGCAACTGGATCCTGGCATTGGTTATGCATCACCGAGAGCACGGATGCGACTGGAGCATGTGGTTGTGGTAAACCCGGATCACGAATTCTCTGTTTTTGGCGACGGATTGCACCGGCATGTAGCACGGCCGGCACTGTCATGTTGTCTACTACAGATGTCGTCATCCCTGCCACCAATGGTTTTAACGGACCGAGCCTGGTGCACCAATGGCATGTCAGCCTCCTTCGACGGATCATCGGAATTTTGCCGATGATGGACCAACACCCCATGGTAGCTGCTTATACTCCATGCCCTACTGTTGCAAACTTTTGGGAGCGTCTTTTTGGAAAGTACCCCTTTGGGGGTTTGAAGGGGGGTTTGAAGACACGCCCACTTGGATTGACCTACATGCGTAGCCCGATTGTGGCTGTGAAGTCTGTTGGACTGGATGCTTGTCTGACTGTTCGGCAAGCTCGCGAGAAATGCCAATGTCAACAGTTTCGCACAGGTGTGCTGGCTGTAGTGGGGATGCTACGTGGATGTTTTTTGTTTTGTTTTGTTTTTTCTTTCCGCATGGACTTTTAGAGTGCTGGGGTCTCATTTTCCTGATTTGCTTGCTTGGGTAGGAAATATGTGTTACTGCCTATACTCAGGGCCAATAGTCTTTGCATGACATGATCCTACCAGTTGAACTTTTATTGGGACCAGGTACTCCCTTTTTTGATGAAGGGCCAGGCAATTCAAACTTGTTTTGGCCAATCAATTCAGCACTTCATAAGGAGGCATCGAGTATCGATACCCTCAATCAATCCCAACCGCACACCGCCACTTTGCAGGAATCATTCAGAGTGATGAGATGGTCCCCAGATGCATGCAACCGAACAATGTCAGACACCAGTGTTGGGCTTTGTGCCTTAAAAAAGCATGTGGGGCGTGGGGGAGGGGTCAATCCCTGCAGAAGACTAGAACATGATTTGGGAACCCGGCTCGCCCACCCCCCGCCCTCTTAAGAAAGGGTAGAATCCATTTCCTTGCTTTCCACAGGACCCGCCCTGGGTGGGTCCATCCGTTATTTTTTGCGAGGCACAGACAACCCGCAGGCGCAGGAGAATCTTACGCCGGCAGCCAAGAGGGCGGCAGATAGATATGGGCGGTTTGTGTGTGTGTGTGTTTTTTGCAGGTACCCTTTTTGGGGTTGGAATGAGAAACAAAGGAACTACCCCCAAAATAGTATTTTGTGACACACCACCTCAAGAGTGGCTGGAGGACCTTGTGATCCCACCGAATTTTGATCCACCATTTCGGGTCCCTCGTTAAGTTTCGTACCCATGTTATTGAGAGCAAGGTTCTCGAGGTCTCGTGTTTGGTGGAGAAATGAATGTGACACAATGAGGAGGGCCTTGATTTTTTGACAAGCCCTGTTTGGGAGAACCACATGCTTCGGGGTGTCAAACACTTTGCACTCGGGAAGAGCCGGGAATGTATGGGTCTATGTTTCAGGAAGTATATACTTTCAAACTCTTTGCCACGACTTCCCCTGCAGGCCGTGCCAATTTGCGGGTTGTGCGACGACCTTCAAAAGCGTTAACCACGCTTTGGTCCCCCGACCGCTTGCCTGTCCTGTGACTGCTAGGCTGCTCCTGCACGGCCAGCAAACCAGTTGTGGGACGCTCAGAAGCGAATCCAGGCTATTTGGACCCGGGGAAATATCCACTGTTCTCCACCATTTCAGCGTTGATTCCAAGTTGGGAACAACTGCCCATGATACTGGAATCCCCTAGCTACCCGTGGGACCAACGTATTACTTGGCGCGAGTTTGGTTTCCACGGCTCCTTTCTATTGCTGGAGGGCTCCAGGGTTCGAGGCTGCTCAGCTGAACAGCGCCCAAAATAGAAGTTGGCCATATATACTAGAATGAGAATCCACTACCTAGTTCAACTAGGAGAATAGCAAGGCCTGCAGGGTAGTCAGAGGAAGTTTAGAAGGAACGTAATTGAAGGTAGTTTTGCGCAAAGAAGGAATGCATGCGAGAACACATGCGTGCGCGCGTGTGGCAGGGGAATAGAAATCGCGAAAAGAGTGACCCTGCGACGGGCTTTGGTAACCCCTCCTTGAGGTGAAGTTCCAAGAAGCGCCCAAAGGGGTCTCTCCAATTATATAAGGCATCTTAAGCAGCTGGCGGTTTTAGATTCACTGTAAAAGTCAAAGAGAAACAGACTCGTTCATTTTCCGTGATGTTCGTGTGCAGGACATCAACCCCGCATTCATCAACCCCTTTGCCTATGGCGTGTTCCCCCAAGAAGTGGAGGGTGCTGTCTAAAATGGTACACTCCCTTCTTGTCAACCAAGGGTCTGGGTTCCATAGGCCAGTTTCCCTTCATGCCAGGGGGGTTCTGAGTTCCCCACATTTGCCACAAGCTTCCGGGGATCTGTGAGGCGCCACAGTTGCGAACAAGCACTGCATCGCCAAAACCGCCGTCTCCGACATCTCCGTGCCGGAGATGTTTGGCCCTCGGGGAGGTGGGACAGCGGGAGCCCGGGCGCATGTACTCCAGAATCAACGGCAAGGGGATTTGTCAAATCGCAATTTCCCAAATATCAGCTGCTTTACTTTGTTCCACTGTGCTGTTCGGGCCCGCCACTCGGCAGCGCCGACTCAAACGGGGTGACCTCCGTTGCCAGGAATTCTCCCTAGTGTCGTGTTTTCTTACCAGGCCCAGGGGTTCCAGATGAGAATTCAAGTGCACATGTCTTTGAGGGGAGGTTGTCTCTGATAGTAAGGATATTTAATGGCCTGCGGCCTGGTTCCGCCGCCCCCACACACCTTAGAATTTCGGCCCGGGACGAGAGAAAGCACGCGATATGTAGACAGACACAGACAGACACAAAGACACGCAGACAGACACGCAGCGGGGGGGAGGGTCTTCGCGGACACGAAGACAGACGCAGATGCGCAGGCAGACGCAGACAGAGCCAGACAGACACAAATACACAGACAGACACGCGGGGGGGGGACACGAAGAAAGACGCAGATACGTAGACAGACACAGACAGACACAGACAGACACAAAGACAGAGACAGACACGCAAGGGGTCTTCGCGGACACGAAGACAGACGCAGACAGACCCAGACAGACACAAAGAGTGACAGACAGACACGCAGGGGCAGGGGGGGTCTTCGCGGACACGAAGACAGATGCAGATACGTAGACAGACATAGACAGACACAGGGGGGGGCGGAGGGGTGGGGGAAGACTACCCGAAGCCTAGGGAAGAAGCCCGAACACAGGACCCGCGCGTTGTTTGGTCCCGAAACAGTATCGGAAGACTAGGAGAAGAAGCCGGAAGATTACGGAAGACTACGGGAAGAAGCCGAAAGATTGCGGAAATTTACGGGAAGAAGCTTGAAAGATTTCGGAAGACTACGGGAAGAAGCCGGAAGACTACGGAAGACTACGGAAGACTACGGGAAGAAGCCGGAAGACTACGAAAGACTACTGGAAGAAGCCGAAAGATTACGGAAGATTACGGGAAGAAGGCGGAAGACCACGGAAGACTACGGGAAGAAGCCGGAAGACTACGGAAGACTACGGGAAGAAGCCGAAAGATTACGGAAGATTACTGGGAGAAGCCGGAAGATTACGGAAGACCACGGGAAGAAGCCGGGGGGAGGGAGGGGGGGAGGGGGGGGGGAGGGGGGGGGGGGGGAGGTGGGGGAGGGGGGGGGAGGGGTGGGGAAATCCAGAATTCCTGAGAATCCAGAAATCCAGAGATCCAGAAATCCAGAAATCCAGCCGACGTAGAAACCAGCCCCAAGGGCCGCCCCAAGGGACATATAGGTTATATATATATATATATATATATCTACATAATCATATTCACATTAAACTTATAGAAAGCATATCAACAAAAGCAACACAGAACACACCGCCCCCATGCCGAAAGCATGGTCCATTCTGGACCAGGCATGGGGTCGGCGGATTCTTTTTCTGACATAGAAGCATTGACCAGGCATGTTTTGCAAGAGAACAAGAGCGATATCTTGTTCGCGGCAGCACAGTGCTAGGCTACCTGGCGCTGTCAATCAAGCAACGATGTGGCTGCCCATTACCCTCCACGGGCGAGAATTTTGTGAACAGTGGCCTCAAACACATGGTTGACTCGCTTGCCCAAAGCCGATCTTTTGACCTGTTGGTTTCCTGGCTTGGTCTACTTGTGGCAGAAGTCCCAACAGGTGAACCGTTGACTTCCATGTCCTTTGCGCAAGAGAGTCCCAATGCCAAACCACGTGTTCGGAACAGTCATTTTGAGGATTCCTGGTTGACATTCTCGCCTCCCAGCAACACTTGAGGAAGCACAGACCCGCTTCCTTTTGGACAGGATCCTGTCACAGGGGTTTGGGACCATCTTGCGTATTTGCCCTTGACCAGATCATGAACAACGAAACGCATATTAAATCGTCGGAAGAGGATAGATTTGGGCGTGGATCCCTTTCTTTCCTACCATGCTGAATGGAGGTTGATTGGAACTACAATGAAGTTTGTAATACTACGATGATGAAATTAAAATCTACACCCTCACGCTGTATGTTTCCTACTTGGATGCTCAACCAAGTTAGTAAGTAGGTTTTAACCATGGTTATAACTTGGGCAACTATGGTTTGTTCCCTTTCAACCATGGGTATAACGTTATGCCCTACTTGCTAAATTGGTTGAACATCCAAGTTGGGGCTTGCCGAGATCCCGAGGTGCCCCTTCTCCTGCCTGCTGTGCATACCCGCCAGCGGGGAAGTGGTGGCGAAGCGGAACCTGCTCTTCCGCGAGGCGCAAAAGCGCGCCGGATGGCTTGTGGGAAGCCGTGAGGACTCACGGCTTGGAGCCGGGGTTCGAGGGCCTAAGAATTACTAGCATCATCCTCTATTGTCTAAATTTGGCTTTCAAGTGCACCGTGACCTGTTTCGAATGACGCACTCAGGCCCTTATATTCAACCGAAGGTGCGAACGCGTCGGGCTTTTGGGGAAAGGCCCTCAGAACTTCAAGAGAGAAGTTTGTCAAAGGGCTCCTGGCTCATTCAAAGGATGAGGTCGCAGCTGGTTCGAAGGAAGCCCGAGATGGGCAGGATGGATTGCTGAGCCCAGAATTGAGCATGTTCCACTGCTTTTTGTGCCGTGTCTATAGATTGCTCGCGGACATGAACTTGGGGCCAGTTTTTGGTGAGATATCCGAATTCCAGACTGGCTTGCTTTTTGTTGTGGCGCATAGAGGGAGTATTCGAGATGCTTCCAAGGGAAGGAAGGGCCGCACTTTCTCTTGCTGCGCAGATTGCGTTTCGCTGCGTTTCGCTTCTCTGCCTGGGTGAGTGTTTGAGCTCCAGGAGGGGATGAAGTACTGCGACGACGCGGGCTGCAAGACCTCCGACGCGAATGCCCAGGGACACAGAGCGAAAGCGACCACGACGGTACGTAGCACTGTCTTGGGATGAATGGGATATGCCTGATGGCTCTTTGGTAGTTCGCCACTGAAGCATGTGCTATTTGACGGGCTCGATCCAAAAGATTCCAGGGTGTTGGCGGCTGAT